AACTGATACCCAGAAAGAAATTTCCATATGCGAGCATCTGTATTAACAGTTTGAATTCTTTCAGGGTAGTATTTGTTAAATTTTGAAATTTAACTGCAAAATTAGCCAACCTTGATAGACTAGAGGGAAGACAGCTAACCAGGGACAACTTTTGGGCTACTTTAGTCAAACAGTGGAATGCGACTGTCATTCTTATAACGCACCCGTGGTTCTAAATTACGGTGGGCGTTTTTGCCGCAAAGGGAAGCGGACTCGGAATGTTCGGATTCATATCCGAACACGATAGCCTTTAGCCACGGCCGTCCCTATCTACTTCAAGTGTTTGTGTGTGTGCGATTTTTATAGCAAAGCCACATCGGGCTATCTGCTGAGTCCACCGAGGGAAATCGAACCCCTGATGTTTAGCGTTGTAAATCCTTAGACTTACCGGTGTTCTTCCGGGGGGGGGGGAGGCATCCAGATCAAGATCTCTCTCCCTCTTTTTTTTTAATTTGAAAATCAGAGCCAAGGAGTATTGAATTTTTTCATGCTTCAATGTTTTGTTGTTGTTATTGCTTTGACCTGTTCCAAAAGTCCAGATATACACAGACCTAAGGTCACAATGTCAAGATACGAGAAGGAAATATGAGAGCTTTGAGAGTGTAACAAGCGTGGTTTGTAGTGAAATTTTATATTTATTGGATTTTTTTTTCCTGTTATAACATCTTAGAAATTTACTATGAGCCTACTAGTAAATTATGCAAAGCTGAGCTACTATGGAATATTTAACTTGGTAGAAAAAAAACTATGTTTTTTGTCCTATTTCACTTACTATGGTGAAAGTTGAGAAGAGGAGTAAACCCATCGTTGGCACTTTATGTTGTCAGCTACATTTACACATCATGAAAGCTTGAAGTTGTCCTCACCTTATTCTACAGATTTTTATTCACCTACATTTCGCTTGGAAATACTGTTTATTATATCAACTGAGAAATTATTATTGGTGTGAATTAAAGCTTGAAGTTGTCCTCACCTTATTCTACAGATTTTTATTCACCTACATTTCGCTTGGAAATACTGTTTATTATATCAACTGAGAAATTATTATTCGTGTGAATTAAACGTATTTAAAGTTTACACTTATTTAAGAAATTATTTAACTTTTGTCAATGTATGATCTAATAATTGAAATATAAACTATTTTTCATAATTAATAATAAAGTGGCAAATAACGATTTATTAGTACAATGAAGTGATGTCGAAACGTGTAGTATGTTCTCACCCACCACCCAAAAAAATCATGCCATTGTGCTTTCAACTCGCTGTTTCTCAACTTGTTATTATAACAGCATAATACAGGGTGTCCCAAAATCTGTCTACACATTGTGAATGATTATAAATAGAATGTTTATTAAGATATATCCGAGTTTTATAATCCAAGTTAAAAAAGACAAGTGTGTGGAATATTTTGAGTTATCGCAGGTGTTGACCATTCTGGTCCAGGCACTGCTGATAACGATGACAGATGGAACTGCAAACATCACGTATCATTTCATTTGGTATTTTGGCGCATTCTCTTTCATTTGCTGCTTTCAACTCATTGATTGTTGCAGGTTTTGTGCTATAAACCTTATTTCTGAGGTATCGCCATAAAAAAAAAGTATAGTGGTGTGAGGTCTGGTGAACGTGGGGGGGGGGGGGATTCAGTGCTACCTCTTCGCCCAATCCATCTGTTCGGCAGATTTTCGTCAAGATAGGCTCTCACGTCACGATGATAGTGGGGAGGTATGATTCTTCACTCAAGATTTTTCTTGATACAACAATTCAAACTGCTGAAGTTTATATAAACAGTTAACTTGTCATGAAGTAATTACCTTTCAAACTATGTTTAGCCTTATTTTCCTACGTAACTTACTTGCACCAAAATAAATGTTTGTTTGTTTGCTGTTAAGCACAGAACTACACAATGGGCTATTTGTACTGTGACTACTACGTGTATCGAAACCCAGTTTTTCGCGTTATAAGCCCTCAGACTTATCTCTGACCACTGGGGACCGAAAATATATATATATATATATATATATTAAACAAGCCACTGAAGTCCTTAAAGCTATAAGCTTGAAGAATATCTGAATGCTGAAAACGTAATCCCATTACTAGTCAGTGAAGACTTATGTATGATACAGAAATATATTTTCAGTTGACGAAAATTCACTTGACCTCTGAATAATTCTGAATCATCGTAACCTAACACCCTAACACTAATATTTTTTTCTCTGGGATTCTGCAACATCCTTGGCCATATGTGTGACGTATTTACTTTGAGAAAAACTTGGCCTAATCAAATACCAGTTTTCTCTCTCAAAAGTCTGAAACATTAATTCAGTTTAAATAGTCATCAAACATTAGTGTTCGATAACATTTTTAAATTTCTAGTTTAAGATTACTTAAACAAAATATTAATGACATTCTATTGCATACCAGAAGAATACAATATCATGTCAGTGGTACAATCATTTAGCAGCTGGAAGATTTCAAGCGGCGGTCACAATATAGAACCAGAATAGATACATCGAGAGTGTGAAATATGAGGGATATCCTGTTATGCTCTCTTCACTACTTGATTCATTTCCTGTTGAAGAAGAAAGGAAGATGTAGCGGTAAATCATTTAGTACTTGCACGAACTCGCTGTGAAATGAAAATCATAGATTTCTTTGTGCAATTTAACGAACCAGGACATATGTTGTAATCTGGAAAATATCCTTATGTTCAATTTAACGAACCAAGACATATATTGTAATCTGGAAAATATCCTTATGTGCAATTTAACGAACCAAGACATATGTTGTAATCTGGAAAATATCCTTATGTGCAATTTAACGAACCAAGACATATGTTGTAATCTGGAAAATATCCTTATGTGCAATTTAACGGACCAAGACATGTGTTATAATCTGGAAAATATCCTTATGTGCAATACAACGAACCAAGACATGTGTTGTAATCTGGAAAATAACCTTAGGTGCAATTTAACGAACCAAGACATGTGTTGTAATCTGGGAAATATCCTTATGTGCAATTTAACGAACCAAAACATGTGTTATAATCTGGAAAATAACCTTATGTGCAATTTAACGAACCAAAACATATGTTGTAATCTGGAAAATAACCTTAGGTGCAATTTAACGAACCAAGACATAAGTTATAAACTGGAAAATAACCTTAGGGTGCAATTTAACGAACCAAGACATAAGTTATAAACTGGAAAATATCCTTATGTTCAATTTAACGAACCAAGACATGTGTTATAATTTGGAATATCCTTATGTTCAATTTAACGAACCAAGACATGTGTTATAATCTGTAAAATATCCTTATGTTCAATTTAACGAACCAAGACATGTGTTATAATCTGTAAAATATCCTTATGTTCAATTTAACGAACCAAGA